AACTCTCTCTCTCTCTCTCTCTCTCTCTCTCTCTCTCTCTCTCTCTCTCTCTCTCTCTCTCTCTCTCTCTCTCTCTCTCTCTCTCTCAGTCCGATACTAACCTGTGAAGGTGGCGCCTTGGTGCAGGTACATCGAAGACGATGCTGGAACTATGGCGCCACAGGTAAGTCTCCCTTGCCTCCGCCAACCATCTCTCTCTCTCCAATGCTACTCTAGCTCCTAATACCGCCCAACGCTGAAGACTACTACTAGTGCAACGCTCCTCCAGACTGCTGCTGCCGAATCCTGAAGACTACCTCCTGCCTCCTGCATGTGAAGTGTCCGTGAACCACCTACAGCCTGCAGGGCGGGCGAGTCCTATATAGTGCTGGCCCGTTTAGGAGGTTGCTCTTGCCAATGCCAAAACGTGCCAGACCCTGGCGTTGAAGTTCAAATAAAGGTTATTTTGGAAACATGCCCAAAATGGTCTGTGCTAAAACCCTAGTTTGGTGTCTAAGTTTCAGGGCAGGTCGATCTTATGAGGGTCTGAAAATGGCTCTCCGTTTAAGGCTGAAACGACTCAGGGCCTGGAGGACCCTATTGTTAGGCTGAAACGACACAGGACCTGTAGACCCTTGTTTTTGGGCTTTCAGGCTGAAACGACACAGGGCCTGTAGGCCCTTGTTTTAAGGCTTTCAGGCTGAAACGACACAGGGCCTGTAGCCTGTAGGGCCCTTATTTTCCGTCTGGTCGGGCCCTATAGGCCCGTGTGGCTGCGCAGTATGCCACCGCCCCCCCCTCCTTGAAAGACCGAGATCACCTGCGAGGGCGAAGATGCATGTCGGAGGGAGGGACTAAAGTCCGGGTGGGAGGGGCAGGTTGTGAAGCTTCCTTAGCTGGTCTTCGTCGCTCGTCATCGGTGTAGATTAGTGGTGTAGATGCTTGCAAATCTATTGGTGTCCAGAATGTCAAAGGACAGGGCCTCGCTTGCATGAGGGGCGAAGTACACGGGGACGGAGTCAATACACCGGTCGATTGACTTGTGTGTGTGACCGTCTGCCAACGTGACTTGCGTGGGCTGCGACTTCCTCCGAATGCGTGGGCCCAGGCCAGCGCGTATCAGAAAATCTTGGCTCATATGGTTGCGAGTAGCTCCGCAATCGATTAAAGCGCTGCAGGTCGCCTCTCCGATCTGAATGCGTATGTGCAACAATGGGGCGTCGATGTCGTCGTACTGTTGTGTCTTGAACGCGTGGTCGATCTTCGCAACGTAGTCGTAAAGGTCGACAACCTCTACTCCGACATCCATCAACGGAGCTGGTACTGCAGTGTGCAAGTAATCCCGCAATTGTGCCATGAGCACGTTGCAATGTGGTTTCGGCAATAGACCGGTCAGGGGAAGGGGTATCAATTGGAAGTCCTCGAACGTCAACGGGTCGAGTTCTTCAAGTCTTGACCATGACGTTGAATCCCCGACGAAATTTGGTGGCGAAGCTGCCGAATCGGTTGCCGATGGTGATGAAACCGTGCATGTGGTGGATTGTTGCATGTAGAGTGGTCGGTCCAACGGTGGGACTAAGTGGACAGCGTAATCCTCGTAAGATTACCGAGGACTTGCGACATGCGCCTCCTCCCCAGATGTGTAGGAGGCCGCTAGCAAGGCAACCGAATCTGGTGGAGTGAGAGGTGGAGTCACCTCACCTCCTGCGCAGCTCAGTTTCCCGAGCTGATTTGAGGCCGAACATCCTCCTTGCCTTGATCCTGGCATTGGGAAATCTTGTGCTTGGTGCCGTTGTACCAATAGTAGCGGCCGTGTCGACTGCGGTACTTGTATTCGGCCTCGGTCAAGTTGAACTTGACCCATGGTACTGGCTGTCCATTTCCGGTTGGTGATGCGGTTTTCGCCTTCCCTTTTCCACGGGAGTTGTTGTTGCTTTGCGGTTGGACGGCAACCCCCTGATCTTCCTCATGTGATGCTGGGGTGGCTGCCAAGTCTTCCACAATGTTGTCCGGTTGGATAGCAACAACATGCTGTGGACGCGGACCAAATTTTCCTTTCTCCACATGGATTGGCTGCCATGCTGTCTTCTCGTGTGCAACAACCTGGTTGCTCTTGATGATCTCACGACCCTTGTCGATGATTTCGACGAAGGCCGTGTACTGTTCGCGATCACCGAGTGCGAGGCTCAAGGCGGCACACGACCGGTTGTAGAACTCTCGGCGCATATGCAGAAATAACAAGTCGAGATCAGGTGTTGCCACGATCTTTTGCCATTCCGTGAGCCAATCGCGCATCGATGTGTTGCCTTGAGTCATGGTGAAGAGGCGGTTGATGGCGACCACCGGGGCATCGTCAACAATGAACTGCTTCTTCCATTCTCTCGTTAGATCTTCCCAGGAGATCTTCTTGTATAAGTTGCTGATCTGGACGTCGTGGATGGTTGCGATATGGCTGAGCCAGATCTGGCATCTGCCCTGGATGTTGAGGAACAATGCCACGAAGTACAAATGTTCATGAATCCCAAGCTCCGTTGTAAAGCCTTGCCACCGAACGACGGGGTTCTGATGCGTATAGTCGTCAAATTTCTCGATCCGGAATATCGGCATCTTGTAGTGCTTTAATGCACTGGTGCTGCGATCGTTGTCGGGCGGCTGGTACAACTGCCTGAGTTCGGTCTGCAAGGTGCTGAGGTGCTCGCTGATGGTGGCTGATGCGGCGAAGGTGCTGATGCCGCCGAGCATTGTGACTACATGGTCAACTCGTTCCTCCAATTGACCGGTTGAGGGTGCACTGTCGGACTCGCCAGCATCTGGTCTTGGTGCAACTTGCTCCAAGTCCTGTACACGGAAATGAAGTGCGAGTGTAGCATATCCATGTCGTTCTGCATTATCCGTCGGAGATTCGTCAGTTCCTGGTGCTGTTTCGCTAGTTCCTCGTGTTGTTCGCCAGTTCCTGGTGCTGTTTCGCTAGTTCCTGGTGTTGTTTTGCCTGTTCCTAGTGTTGTTTCTCTAACTCGGACTGCAGGTGGTTACAAGTGTAAACCAACCGGGTCACAAGTTTGGAGAGGAACTCCTCGTGCTGCTGTTCTGATGTTGTGTCGCCGTTGTCCTCAGCTGATTCAAAATGCCAGAACTTGAGCCTTTCGACGCTAACAACTTCGCGCCGCTGTAGTAGATCCTGGGCCGCCTTGCGGCGTGCCTGGGTATCTGCGTCTGCTTCGGTCTGAAGCCGCCGACTTTCAGCTGCTGCCTTTGCTTCAGCCTGTAGGCGGGCTACCTCGGCTGCCTCCTGGCGGTGTACCTCAGTCTCAATCAGTGCGAGCTGAGCTAGAAACCGCTAATGGTACTCGTCAATGGACTCACCGGCCAGTTGGACTGTCATGCCCAATGATGAACCCGTCATGGTGGCGGGGCACTGTGGATGTTGGTACTGCTGTTGTTGTGGCAGTGCTGACGTGGCACTGCTACTGTCATGACATTGTTGTCGTGGCACTGCTGACGTGGCACTGCTGTTGAGGTGGCACTGCTGCTGACGTGGTACTGTGTAATCGGGAATACAGGCAAAGGGTTGGGTGGGAGGGAAAAAGCAGGAAGGTAACCAACCAACTGTACTTTCCTCCCGATCCTAATCAACAAAATAAAATAAAAATAAAAAATAAAAGAAGAGGATCACCGGGCATCACTCCCCCCCTTTTTTTTTTTGTATATCCGTCGATCTGCTATGAGTGAGCCATTTCAGAGGATTGCTATGAGTGAGGTCTAGGCAAGGTTTCGCAAAGTTTCGGCTTTAAAAAAAAATGCGATCTTGATTTTTTTTTTTTTTGCGTAAAATAGACTGAAGGTTCCACTTTCCGAGAAGAATAGATCCAGTCCGAGAATATAACAACCTCCCTAGTTCACGTAAATGCCCAAAGTAAAACAGAAAACAAAGTGCTAATATCCAAAGTAGCGAAAAAGATATATTTTTTTTTCTGCAGAGATTTGACGAAGTCCTACTTGATTTACTAATAACAATCAATCAATCAATCAATCAATCAATCAACAATCGGTAGATTAAGCAAGCTGGCTACTTGATTGGGCGGATCCTCTGATTGAGAGGTCCGCTCCGATGCCAAACTGTCGCATACCGTAACGGTACAGACCAGAAGAAGAACCGACCTCCCTCACATAGTACAAGATAGCGCAGCAGAAGGCTAGTATACCAATGATCCGAACAATCAATATTGCAATGCAGACCAAACATACATCATCATCATTCCATGGCGTGAAGGGGCGAGGCGCTCACACAGGAAGAATGCGCCAGTCCCTAACCATACACAGATGAAGAAGAGGGGGGTTAGACGAAGAAGAGGGGAAGATGGGAATGTCGTCAACACCAAGTCTTCGGTACAGGTCCCAAATAATCCCTCGTCCAATGTCTCAGTCCCAATGTGGAGTCTCGATCCGAATGTCGGCAAGTCCCAAAGTCACCAATCTCCCTCTCTCTCGTAGTCTGCAGATACTGAGAAGATAGGTAGCGAGAGGGTGAGGGAGAGATGGTGAACTTAGAAGAGGAAGAAGAAGAA